CACTTCCGCAATGCCGCGTAAGCAAGTCTTGGGACAGCTTGAAGGTGTCCAAACGCCGGCTGCGAAGCCCCCCCTTGGGCAATGGCGCTGGCTGTGGGACCTTCTGCCCCGCTGGCTGGCGCTGGGAATCGGCGTGACGCCTTTGTCGACCCACAACGACGAAAGAGCCCGCCGGGGGAGCACAGTTGCAGCATGTGAGCATGAGAGTGGCGGGGGGAGCTGGTGTGTATCAGAGGTGGCCTGTACGATGAACTCGCAAGAGAAGTTCCCAACTCGTCTTGTGACATAACAAATTAGGGCTTCCGACTGCGTGTTCCGAGGGTACGCAGGTTTTTCGTCGCCTGAAGCACGTTTGCGGCAGGTTTTTTTACTATATATATATATATATTTTATTTTTTCGCTTGTCTGTGTAGCATGTCTTCCCATTCTGATGCTTCATCACATGCGACTGCAGCCGCCGCTGGTCTCAACGCCATGGACTGGTTTCTCTTATTTCCAACCTCAAGTCTGCATGGGCATGGGGTTTTACTTTGCTTTGCCCCCTCCTCCATTTCACCTACGACCAAGCACCATCTTTTGGGTGCAAACCATTGGCATCGTGTGCAAGAAGCCTCCTCATTGCAAAACTTTTGCACCCCTTGCTTTGGCTTCGTGTGAGCATTTTCAGTCAAGTACCCAGTAACCTTCGCAGCTTGGCGAATGGTTCGATGGGTGCGCGCACGCCGCGGCATTCCGCGTGAAACAGCCATTGACCGCCACCAACCCCGGTGGCGGGACCGTGCTCGGCCACCTCTCGAAGTCCTCCTGTTCCGCTCCGCTCCGCCGCGTCGCGCTCCGTCGCGCTGTGCCCGTTCCGCTGGCGCCGTTGGAACGCGACGAGCCTAGACTTGAGGAGCTAGGACGTTTTGGGTAGCTTGTCATTGTATGGCGCACGGGTCGTGCACGGCTGGTTTTTTAGGTACGTCGACGCGCCCGAATGCTACAGGAAAGCCAGGTGAACAGGGAGGTGATGTTTGTGGTGCCTTGTCGGTTGCGGGTAGACGGTGCGATCTGGTATACAAGTGCCCTTGGATTGGGCGCGTGGAAGCAGGAGCAGGATTTTGGGATGTGATGAGGTCTTGTGTTGTGTGTTGATGTTGCCGTGGTATCGCGTAATGTGCCGCGGAGTTGTGGAGTGTGCGGAGCGGTAGTGAAGTATGAAGCGCTGGCATGTCTGATGGTGAGCAATGATGATGATTGAAACAATACGCAGACAGTGGTGCTGCTGTCACTCACCGTAACGCGGTCAACACCGCACGACGCGCAACAGTAACGCCCCACCACCCAAATCACAGACGCCGTACGCCATGCGCACCGATGCATGACAGCAAGCTTCACTTTCATGACTACAAAGCCACGCCAGCAGCTGCACGATGGCGCCTTTTCCACAAAAAACACGGAGGGTGTGCCCCTTCCACGCGATGCATCACCAGCCACATGTCACTCATTACAGTGGCCACGCTTGGCTGCTGGTCCAAGTGCTGCTAGCAAGTTTCACTGTTTAGACGATTCTTTTCGCACGTTTAAGGTTGTTGCTCTATTTTCGCTACGTTTGGATGTTGTGTTTTGTGAATAAGCCCGTGCCATCCAATCCGATTAATTAGTTTGTTTCCAGTTCGGTGGCGCTGCCTGCAACAAATCCTTGGGTCGCGCATGGGGTGCAAGCTCCACTGCGCAGCCAATTTTTCCGTGGTTCGATTTCTGCAGCGACGGCACGGCTAGCTAGGAAACTTGCACGATGGATTGCACGAAGTTGGTGGTGGACCTTGAAAGCGCAAACCGAAAAGTTGCAAGAAGACAGCGATCGAGATCAGGGCATTCAAATTTCAAAACGCGCCGCTTGAACCACATTTTTTTGTGCCCGAAAAGGTTAGACGTACAAATTTTTGTTGATGTTACTATTGGCTGATGGCCCCTCCGCTAAAAAGTGAATTGTGAATAGGAGGGGGGTAACCTGTGAATTAATCCTGTCCACCTATTTAAAAAACACAGGACCCCCCCCTATTAAGAAAATTCCTCATTTTTTTAAGTAGGGGGTCCCGGAAATCGGGGTTGTCCAAAATAGGGTCGGCGGAAGGCAGGTGCAGTGCAGACTAAGCAGCCAGAGAGGCAGGGCAGGTTGATATACGCTAAGGCCCCCTTTAGTATAGCCATGGTTAATTATAGACATATATTATATATACAGACATATAAAGCCGCCGCATGTTTGTAGGATTGGGGCCAAAGAAGCAGACAGGCAGCGGAGGGACAGCGGACAGTCAGCAACGCAACGCAACATTTTGCGGGTGTATTGGGGCCCTTTTTTTGAGGGAGTTTGAGGGTACCGAAGCTACAAGAAATTTATAGAAATTTACGGCAAAAATCGACCATGTGTGTGGTTTAGAAGGGCTTTGAAATGGCGGTAATGTAAAAACACAGATAAGCCGTATTTAGGGCTTCGGACATGGTGTTTCTTAATTGGGAAACCCTGTTAAACAGGTACTCGGGACTATTTTTTCAATGTTTTTTTGTGATCTGACCACTTGTCGAACACCTTTTTTTGCCAACATCCATGTCTGAAACACATTGGTATGTTCCTAGTTGGGCAAATCTAGGGTCATGCTTACTCATTGCTCGCAGCAGACCGTCAACAGTGGTTTGCATTGGTAAATTTTTCCCTGCGCTGCCACTGACATGTAAATTCTTGGTGATCGACTCATTTCTGTTCACCCGCCTGTGCCTTAAGGGGGCCCGCCGGATTGCGTCCAGGCATGAAATGAAAATGCCCACCCGAGACATAATGAAGAGGTGGTGTGGAGGTTGGACACCTCACAATTATCAAGATGAGGTGGGCCTGGCCACCCACACCACTTCCCCAACCTTATGCTTGGCAACTATGTGAACCGACCCCTGCTAAAACCCTAAGCCCCACCAGAATTATTGTTTTCATTGCGTGGTTTTGAGTGCAGTGGCCACTTTTGTGAGGCGTTGTAAAGTGTGAGCTAAGATTTTAAGCGCTGCTCACGTATCGTTGATGTGGCTGTGGATGGGTGTGTGTGTGTGTCTGCCACTTGGGGGGCTCGAAATTAATTGAGGGGCTTGCGAAGGGTCCATGGGTTAGGGGGTAGGGGGGCCCTAAGCATAATGTAGATAAAAATTCAGGGGCAAAGATACCCTTGATGTTTGTTTCCGCAGTGAATCGGCTATCTATTGAGAGGCCCCTCCCAGGGCAAAAATAGCATAGCGGGCATGTTGGTTGGGAGCCTTAGTTTGCCCGGCAGGATCGCTGCCATGCATGTGCTTCCTTCATTCAAAGCCCTGTCCTGGCCATGTTGATCAAAGAGTTAGGTGGGATCACCTTTGACTTACGGTTCGTGCGCGGATGCTAACAGGGGTGGTTGCCTTGATTAGAGCGAAGGGGGCTTCATAAGAGGCGCGCCAGTTTTGCAAAACAGGGTTGTGCGAATGTGTGTTAAGTCAGCCTTTTTGGTTTCGGGTTCGGCTGGCGCAGAGGGATGGGCGTGCAACTCGTGGAAACCCCAAAGCAGGTTTGCAATATGTTGCGCCAAAGGGTGTTGGGACCCTCGCCAGCTTGAGCAAGACGATGCCGTGTCAACAGCTGTGGCCACCCAAGTTCACATCATCATCACGAACTGAACGTGAGAATGCGTACGGAGAGGGCGCAATGTTTTTTGACCTGTCCAGTTCATACAGGTGCACCTGTGCCCCCCAAACCGTTTGTGTGGGAAACAAAACGTTTGTATGTGTCAATCTCAACCTGTAGTTGTTGCAAGCCAAAAGGGATTTTCCACAGGCCTGTTTGAACCAGACGCTGGCTCAACAGCATGTTGAAGATATTAAACATCATTATCCGATTTTCATTTTGGCCCCTGGGGCGCCCCTGACCGTTGCCAAGTGTCAACGTCGTATGAAAAATTCGGGACTCATTGATGTTGGTGACGCAAACAGAATAGCTGATATCCTCAAAACCGGGAAGGGCCTTGCGTCGCATGGCTCTTGTTTCTTTCCCCCCCTCTCGCTTATTGTAGCCACATTCCGACTGTACATATTTTTTTAAGCTCAATGTAATACGCATGTTCAGGTCTGCGTTTGGAAGTTGCAAAGTCATGGCCCTTCTTAGTGCAAACGAAGCCCGTCCCTTCCTCACAAGGTTTGATGTTCTCTGGTTTTTGTCACTGTCGTCAATCGGCGGCTGCACCGCATACAGCAGTACAAAACCCAAACAAATACACACCATTTTCTTGCACGACAAGGATGGTTGCATTCGTCCTAGCTTTCTGGCCTGCAAAATTGGAAGGCCATGAAACATCACGGCGCTGCTTCTCACGCTCGACGAACCACAAGTTTGACAGAGTGCAGGAAGCGGGTGCAAGCAATCAATGTGTTGCGGGTGGTCTTGCATACGTGAACAAAATAGGCTGACGAGGGGATTCCCTGTGTACATAGTCAGCTCTGCAAACCTTGCGCGCTTGTTTGGAAAGGATTCAGGCCAAAATTGATAAGATTTTTGGGAAATTTTTTTAAGGCCAACATTGATTCAAATGTGCGGCAACTAGAGCACCAGTTTAGCATGGCAACTCCAAATGCATCGAAGTTTCTATTTTGATATGATTTGCATGTGTTGTCGTGACAGCACACGCGGAACAATGTTCGAAAATGAAGGAATCAACACTTGCGTCGTTGATCGCACCGTTGATCGCACTTTTGTTCTTTGAGCAACGCCGGTCCCAAATGCACAATAGAATAAACGGAGTAAACTGTTTCCACCTCGTTGAAAGCGATGAATAATGCATTAACACGATCTAAATGCAACGGCCCGTTTTGATAGGCGATTTTTTGTTAATACAATGTTCTCCCCTTCTGGACTCGGCCAGGCGCCTTGGCTTTACAGGAGCGTAATTTCACGTTGGACATTTTGTCCTACACCTCATGTTGGAACCTGCTGCCATTTCAAGCTGGAACATGTCTTCTTGGCTGTTGGGTCATGGCCTGTGAATTATCAGGCAGGTTGCGTGTGTGTGTGTGTGTGTGTCTGTGAAGATGTGAAAACCCAACTGTTGCAGTTTTGAAAACAAATCACCATGCAGGCTTGCCTCGTCAAAGTGTGAGGCGGGAGACCGTCATTGGGCACAGCAGTTCTGATGCTCCGTGTCATCCGTAGCAAATCCATTGATAATGGTCACACCGACATCGCGCACAGTGCCAGGACCCCCCCAGTCTTGGTTGTTCGGTTCGAACCTTGTTTTGTGCTGGTTCGGCGCCCTGTTTGCCGACCGCAGGTGTTGGTATGCCGGCCAAGCGGCCCTTGCCGTTGTCCGACGCAGCTTTGGGTCACAAAGGCGTGGAAACTAAGGGCTGAATGGAATCTATTGTGAAGCAAGAAACTGTGATTCAAGTAGTACCAAGGATGTGCAGATGCTTTACCCAAGGTGCCCCTAACATCATAAACTTTGACCACCTCCCAGGTGAAGGTGCGACAGGCGACATGACGAATCAGTCAATCGGCGAGACCAACGTGCGGGAACCGAAGTCAACGGGCAAGATGTTGCAACGGGGGGGCCGTCCACTTCCACCGATTGATCGCAGACGTCGCGCAAGATGTTGAGGAGGTACCTGCAAGATGCGTAGGAACCTGTTGTGGTTGGATGTTTTTGGTGGCTCGCAATCTTTTGGCATTTTGAGAACTGCTTAGGACGGCCAGCCCCTGCCTGTGAAGCAGCGTTCCAAGTGGGTCCAAGTGGTTCTTTTCTCCAAAACTTTGCGCTTTGCTGCCCTGTGTGCGGGTGTGCACAACGGCCGAGCCGAGGAATACATTCATTGACGTGCCTTCGGGATTTTCGCCAGCAACCACTCCAACTGATCACAGCCAACCGGTGAGCACAGCGCCGGCACAGGCACGTGCCATGAGCAAACCACTCAAAGGCTCACACAAGACACAGATCAATTAAGCGGGGCGTGCCAAAGGACTATGATAATCAGATAAATGCTAGAGCGAAGCCCTGGCAGAGTCAGGTGCACTACCAGCAAGGATTCCTAAAAAGGCGCGGCTGCTGCACACAGGGTTTTGGACCGGGCTTGGCTTTTGCTTCGGCATCTCTGCAGTTTATTTGCCGAGCGCGTTCTTTTCGTTGCGTTTGTCAGGGCGGTGCTTGATTCAGTGGAAGAAACTTCTGCATCTTGGCCAGTTGTAAGGGTGATGGATATGACATGGCGCCAGCAGACCCTTTGTTTGAGTTTTGCACGCCCAACGCGCCCCACGGGGCGCGTCTCTGCACGTTTTCTATTTTTTTTTGGGCGGGCGGATCTCCTTTCACAGGCGGCTCCTGATGGGCTAGGTTCACAAGGATGGGCTTTTGCAGGATTTAGGAAGCAGCAAACAAAGCTCTCGTTGGTGGCGGCTTTGATTGAAATGGTTATGACAGTGGAAAACCTGTCGCTTCAGGAGCTCAAGCCCCACCCAGCAGGCCAGTGCTAAAAAATGATGCTATGCTGCTATGCCCTTGCGTGCGCACATTCCAAAAAATTCCGCTCGCCTTGCAGGTCGAATTTGGTCGGATGCCCCAGTTGCATTGGGCCCTGTGTGTGTCCTTGTTCCTTCTTTCACCCACCATACTTCTCCTTTGAGCCTGGGGTATTTGAGCGAGCGAAACTCTCAGAGTCCGGTCGAGATGCTCAGCCGACCAAGATGCTTCCGAACCCGAGGCCAACCATCTGGTTTCTGCGACTCCACCGTTGATGACGCCTTCACCGACTGGAACTTCCTTGTTTTCAGACACAAGGACCGGTGCAGACATAGCTGGAGACATTGCTGCATTTTTTTTTCTGGCTTTGGTGTCCTTTGGGTGACGGAGAGGTGAGCCGTGCAGCACTGACAGGTACCAGTTGTTTGGTGGCCCTATGCCGCTTAAAGAGGCTGGATCAAGCGGGCCATCGAACTAGAATTGCCAATCTCTGCCACATTTCTTTGTGAACGGGGGAACCTTTATTTCAATAGGCCCTCCAGATGCAACGGATGAACCATTCGGTGGATTTGGACCAATGTGTCGAGCCTCTTCTGGCTGCTTCGCGCAGCCGCGTGGGTCCGCTTTGAATCTTCCGCAGGCGCCTCTGACAGTGGCTCCCTGCCCAGCTTCAGGCGGCTGGGCACAGCTGGGTTGTGGTTTTAGGATCGTGGAGACCATGAGACCCATCAGTGGAGACCATAAGGCTCTCTTTGCTGGGCAGTTCTGCAACCTGCAACCTGTGCCCTTCTTTTGTTTGTTTTCAAGTCAGGAATGTTTCTTTGTGGGATAACACGCAAAAACGTGCAGCTTGTTTCGGTTGCATGAGCCCTTTTGCGTGCCTTCTGCTTGCACTGGCTGTTTTGATGTTTGACAGCAGTTGCTGATGCGTGTGTTGGGTCATGCGGTGCTTTCATTCAACCCACTCGCTTGGTCGAACTATATGAGCAACCTGATGAAAGTCACCTTCCTTTTGCAGTGCCGGGTTGTTGTGTGCTTTTGTTCTCTCGAATCCCTTGCAGGGTGTCCTTACCTTTCGTCATAGCTGATAGCTTGCAGCCAAGGCGACTCTGCGTGTCCAACTATACCAACCTCCAAAATCGAGCTATACCAACCCTTGAGAACCGGGATGCTCCTGAATCTTCATCTTCTTCCCGAATCTTTAAGTTCATGAAAGACTCTACTGACCCTACTGCAGGTTCTCAGACTCTGGATGAATCAACCACCCCAACCACCCCGATTGCCTAAGACCGTCTTCAAGTCGTGCTCGATTCTGAGGGGGTAACTCTCCAAATAAAATAGTCAGGTTAGTTCAGGTCGACTCGATGTAGGTCTCTTTGGGCCAGGCCGAGCTGCCGGCGATGGATTGTTACTTTCGGTGGCTGCTCCCAAGCAGGCGCCGTTCCGTGCGCTTCTGGGGCGCGCTGTACCTATGGAACGCAGACCCACTTCCCTGCGGGGTGTTAGGACCCGGTCTAGGTGGAACTTGGCCGAATTTTTTTTCTCTCTGGTGGTGGAAAAAGTGGAACTTGGAGGTAGGATTGGCACCCAGGAGTCCGGGCCCCCAAAAAGGTCCTCCACACCTGTGCTTTTGTGGGGTGGGGCGTCATACCATCCAGCATTCCGGAACATCTTGAGCACGTGCAGCAACGGTGCAACTAACTGCTGGCAGGCGCCTGCCTTGGACATGCCCTACAGTCATCAGGGCAACCACTTCCAATCGCCTTATGGCTCCCTTTTTGGACCCGGTGTCGACTCCGCTGGAGCTCTGGGCGCCGAGTTCGCGCGCTTGGCCCTGGGCAAAGCGGACAGTGATGATGAGGATGAGGACTCGGAGGCCGAGCGGCAACAGGCGCGGTCCTCGGTCCATATGCCTTGGGGCCCCCCGTATCGGAGCGAGCGAGCGGACAGTCTTCATTCGGAACCAAAGCGACCCCTCATGGCGAGGTAGACTAAGTAAGTTCGATGACACCTTTTTCCCCTAACAAGACGGGAAAGCCTACCATCTATCCACGAAAAAGGTACTAAGTAAGTTAGAATGATGCAATTGAAGGGGAGCGCCTACTAGGCCTATCCTCTTTGTCTTTTGGCCGCTCCATGCCAGGCCGCGCTGGCCGCCTCGGGACGAACCATCGAGACGGCGCCGAAGCCGCCGCCGGGGGCGTTGCATCCGCGGGGAGCTCAGGAGTGGGTTTCGGATGTTTCGGTCAGAAGAAACACCCGGGTGATGATTGGCTTGATCAGTTGTCCCACCAATGAAACATAATTCTGCAAAAAACAATCCAAATCCATAGCTACATGGAAGAACAGAAGCCACAGGGCGCTGTGAATCAACACAACTCGGAACTCGTGTGACAACAGGGCGGCAGGGCAAGAGGTTGATGCAGACTCTGGATTCATAACCCGCCATACGACCCAAACGAAGGAACGTTTTTCAATGCAAACGGAGGGGGTTGATTCATCAGTCTACGTGACACTCCCTGAAACTGAGATGGTTCTATATAGATGTTCCATGAGTGCCCTTGGCCCCGAGTCCGCCGTTTTCCACACCACATCGCTGGGGCGGAGTCGAAACACCGCCCCGCACCACAGCCACTTTGGGGGGTTCTCCGAAGTGATAAAAGAAAGAGACTCCAAGAGTCTAAGCCTCGACTGGAAACTCAGTTTTGTCGAATACCATTTTGAGGTCCAAAAGGGGGACATGCGTCTAAACTTAGCAAGGTGAACTGAAGAATCGGCTGTTCACCTCTATTTCTACCCAGTGAATGGCTCGCAAGTTTTTGAAACTTCCAGAATGACGCATCTGGCCAATAACCTTCGACACCTTTCATCCAAGGCATCACTGAAAAAGAGTCGTCCATTAGCTCAAGCTCAACCACACAATATTCGTCCTCAAGCTGAACAACAATTGTTCATTGCCTTACGTCCATAATGCCATCTCCGCATCAGTGATACAGGTGCCCGGACATGAAACCAAGTCGTCAGAGGCGAATGCAATAAAATGCATTTGCGTGGCTGTAGCAATGCACGTCGGTAGGAAGCCATCGTCTCAAAATGCAGCAAAGAACCGAAACATAAACAAGAATGTAGTATGCATCGCTACCAGGTGCAAGGTTATGGGCTCACCCCAAGAAGGTTCTCGTCCTGGTGTCAAAAAGCCACCGGCTCCCTCCAACATTGCTGTAAATTGCCTTTGAAGGGAGAGTGTGCACCTGAAGATCGTCAGCCATTATGCGCCACTCAAACCTTCAAAGCTCAACGAAGCTATTCAACAACCATGGCAACGAAACTACAAGCCACAAGAACAATGGCGCAGAGCAAATGGCATGGCTCGATTCGCAGAAACAACCACCGCGCTTTGACAGTCACGGAATGTGAACCCTCGAGCCTCAGTGGCCATTTTCCTCTACAAACAAGGGGCTTTCCACTTCCTGTGTTTTCCGGGTCCTATAGATCCTGTAGGACGTCCCAACATCAGTTCTCGCAAGAAGGACGGGGCTGTGTTTCGGTGCATGTGAGGCTCCGAACGGCACCCCTTTGTATCCGTTTGATTTGGATTGTGCAACCTATTCATATGTTTTTTTGATTCTATGTTATTGATTGAACGGTGCTGAGGTCGATGGGCTCTGCCTTTCATGATAGCGGGAATTGCAAAAGATGTTGCTTCTATCCTCGAAACAGGCCATGTGGTGGGTGGCTTGTTTTGGCTCATGGCATCATGGGCATGCGGGCGAGCATATCAGTTGTCATCAGACTTCATGGCAGAAAACTTTTGGAGATCCTTCCCTACTCTGAATGCGGCTGCAAAAGGTTTCTTTTGGATGACCTGCAGGTGCTTGAATGGCTACGAGTGTGAGTTTTGCCACTACGAGCACGAGAAGCGAAAGCGCAAAAACAAAAAGAACAAGAAGAAAAAGGCTGAGGCTCAGCCGGGTGAAGTTGCACATCTGAAACCTTCTTTGACCAAGCTCTTCAGAGATTGCCAGGCTGGCGATCCAATGGATGACTTTTTCAATGAGGGTGCAGGTCTGCCTGAGCCTTATGTTTTGCTTTTGTTTTGGGTGTGTGTGAACGGTGTGTGAACTCGGCAGCGTGTTGTTCCTCCAAGCGACCGAGGAGTGACCTGGCTTGGCCGAACCTGCCGCCCATGCCCATTCCACCGTGCCATGGACCACTGCCGCATCCGCCGCATCCTCCGCATGCGATGCATCCAGCATGCCCTCCATACATGGATGCCCCTCTTACGTACCAGTGGACCGATGGGATGCCAGGTCAAACGCCAGCGCCTCCCATCATCCCAGGCTATGAAGAGTATGTCGCTGCTTGCTGCAGCCGGCGCCTGCCGGGTATCGAGCCACCAGCTCTGGCCACCAACCCTCCACCGCAGGCCCCTTACTTCGATGATCGTGCGCCCGGCTACCCCTTTGAGCCTCCCCAGCTACCGCCCTACTATGGAGCGCCTGCGCCCACGGCTGGCGCTGGTGCTGGGGCTTTGGATCCTGCTGCAGCTCCATGGGTGCCACCTACTTCACCCTACACACCTGCACAAGCAAGCAATGCAAAGACTCAGCCTTCCAGAGACACAGAGGAAGGCGCTTCTTCGAAGCTTTTGGGGACCTCTCTCTCTCCGCCCTTGGAGGCAGCTGAGGTTGGACAAGCTTCAATGCCACAAACGAGCAGTGGACTGCCTGAAAAAGAGGCTTCGGACACTCCTCTTCCGCTCAACTTGGAGCCCAACATGCCGCCACCAGATTCATCCCCGAAGCTCAACTCCGATTTGGTGGCTTTGCAGAATCCTCCGCCACCAGATCAAAGTCCTACATTGCCGACATGAGCAAGATATTATCATGCTAAATTGTGTTGGAAAGTGACACGAACCTACCCGAACCACAAAAAATACTAAACATATACATTGCACAAATATTAATTGATATTATAAATGGTAGGCAATTGATTAATTTGTATTAATCGAATATGTACGAAATAGTCCTTTTTGCGTATGGTACTGTCCCTACCAGCCTTTTGTGTCTTGTTTTCTTGCATGTTTGTACAGTTGTTTCACGACACTCGTTTTGGCTCAATTGGACGGAGCGTTCATTTGGCTGTTGCGCACGGAAGTGAGCACTAAGCAGCTTCCAGCGCGGTCTCACCGCAGCAGCGCCTCACGACTTGAGGACGCGTGAACTCTCGAGCAAGAAACAGTTGGGCAGCTGCGTTTGGATAGGTTTCCAAGTACCAGCTGTCCTTGTTCACAGTTGGGGGCTGTTCTGGGAAAGTTGCGGTCGTAGAGGCGCGCTATGAGTAAGGAAGTTTCTGGAGAAGATGAAGGTGTGACGCTATCGGAGTGCATGGCATAGCGGATGGTCGCGTCCTGGTACCGGACAGGATGTCCTTCCCGAAGTGGCAGGCTTGGCGACGAAGGGAAAGGAAGACGCCCAACGGGGGCTGCCTACAGGTGAGGAGGTAGCTTTGTGGAAGAGTACCATGGAGAGGATGAAAGTGAGGAGGATGAGGACGATGACGATGAAGAGCCCTTTGAACTGGAACCGGTGGCCGGCTCGGCCCTTGTGGTGCCTGAGCGTGCGGCTGCAGGGCAAGCAGCACCGCTCACGTTGCCCCGAACTGGAGCTGGAGGATCCCGTCCTCGCCCGTCCTCAGCTGGAACCGGAGCATCTGATGTTGAGGAACTGTTGCAACATGTTGCAACAGATGCATCAGTGTTCCGCCCGGACCAGGAAGGGATGGGAGCGCTTCTAGCCAGGATCGCCCGTTTGGTGATGGCTTTGAAGATTCTAGGGCATGAGGTCAAGCCTGAAGACCTGGATCGAGTCACGCTGAAGGCCGAGATCATCCAGGACGTCTATGACCGGGTGGGCATTTTTGGGACGTCCGAGCCCTAAGTCGAACTTTGCGGGACAGGTTCGTGCTCTGATGGAGAGAAGACCATGAAGGCAGAAGTGCTTGGGCAGGTGGGCCTGGCTCTCGGTGGAAAAGAGAGGTCAAAGAGCGACAAGTTGTTCAGCACACCTTCAGTTGAAGGCCCCGTTCTCGGCTCTCCGGCTCGAGCTGCAGTGTCGCTGAAGAAAGTTGGGCGTGCTGGACTCGCAAAGCATGCAGCGAGCGGGGGAGACTCGCCGAAGGTCGCCGCCCTTGAGATGGAATTGGAGGCTCTCAAACGCGGCTCCGAAGGTTCGTTCGCTGGAGGAGGAGATCTTGCTGAGGCCTTGGAAGCACAAACGAAGATGTTGAAGGAAACCTTGATCGCAAAGTGCGGATTGACTAGTGTTAAATTTGCAAAAATTGATGAATTGGCCCACGCTGGGCGACCATCGCTTTGAGCCCAGAGAGGTAGTTTTATTTTACGAGGAACTTGAAGATTGCTGTTTTCTAGCCAATAACTGCAATGGGATGAGTTTGCCCCTTGCAGAGGCAGAAGTCTTAAGACCCTCACCAACATCTATCGGGCTGCGTGGCGAAGTGGTGCGACCTTGTCAAACCCTGAAGCGGTGTACGCCAGGATCAAGGAAAAACACCTGGTTTTTGCTGAGAGGAAAGAAGAGAAGGAAGTCCGCGCCGCGGGGATAACAAGCCCATTTTGTTGAACAAAGGACGTTTGAGCGCTCACCATTTTGAACCTCTTTTTGAGGCGAGCATTTCGAAATTGGAATTGGTTGGCTTGGGGAAGACGCAACGAGAGCTGTATCTCTTGTAGCTGCGGCTCTGGAAAGGGGAAGCGATACGTTGCGGACCTGCTACGTGGGAAGAAGCCCATCGAGTGGTTTTGGAAATCGACTAGAGAGATGCCACAAGGCGACCGCCAACTCCGTGCTCGTTGCGGGAATAGACAGACATGTCTGGCATAGGTTCGGGGCAGCCGCCGCTAGGTGGAAATCAATTCTAGGAGGAGAAAAAGCCAAAACTGAAGCCGAAGCCGAAGGCTGGTCCTGGTCCGAGTGTTCCGGCTTTAGTTTCGGAATGATGGGAGTTGTCCTAAAGGGGATGCATGTCAGACAAGGAACTTCGCAAAAGACTTTCGCGGTGGTGAAGGAAACCAACGGAGGAAAGGGAGCAGATTTACGCAGCAAAAGGTGGAAAAGGCAATACTAAGGGGAAAGGGTCCGAGAAGGACCAGCCGGCAAGGGTTCGTCCAAGGAAGGAAAAGGAAAGAATAGCAAACTTTTAGGGACTTTATGTCCTTATTTCCAGAAAATGGGGCTTGTCGCAAAGGAGCCGACTGTGACATGGTGCCAAAGCTTGCCCGCTTCGACGTCGCGATACACCGGCCCACCTGAGGGCTGGAAGGCGCCGTGTGGTGCTGTTTTAATTCCTTTGCCGCTTCTTTTCTGGTCGAGATTGGTAATGTTATTATGAAGCCCGAAATGAAAAATCAAGTGTTTAGCTTGGCAAAACCTGTGGGCGATCGGCCGCGATTTGTATCTTTGGACGATATTCTTAGCGATTGATTCTATTTGATAAAAATAAGCAGGAGGATATCAATACAAATCTGTGGGCAAGGTATTTGATCGTAAAATGGAGGTTGTTAGATGGATGCGCCGGCGCCGCTTCGAAGCATATCGCAGAAGAATTGGTAATTGGAATATTGAATTGTTTAATGGATTTTGGCATCGATTTAGAAGATCGCCGGTTTCCGGCGTTCCGCTTCTAGAAATGGGATGTATTTTGGACGCGTTGACGGCATAATCGCGGGATCGTTAGGTAATGATCCGAATGACCGTGCTGGAAGGAGAAGATTTAGAGAACGCAAAGGATAATTCGAAATCGTGGACCGTTGCAAAATCGTAATACGCGGCATATCCAAGAAATAAAACAAATATTACATAAAGATTATAGATTTATTATGATCTAACAATTTTATTTGTATAATATGGAATTTGAAAAATATATGTTGTCTATATAATTTTATATATATAGAATTTGGAAGATATTTTATTTCTTAATATTATAGATTTATTATGTATATAAATACATATTCTTCTTTTGGATTTTTATCGAATACGTAATTTTTGAATTTTTATCGAATTTATATAGATATTTGGTTTAAATGAAGGAAATTTATTTAATGATATTATTATTGTTTAATTTATATGTAAAAATTATTGATGGAATATAAATGGTATAATCGAAATAAATTTTGATTTAATTAAATTTATTAGATTGAGGAAATAGATGGAGGTTTTGGTAATTTACGAAAGCTAGCGAAGCTAGCTGGAGTTATTCTTGCGATAGTAAGCTTTCTTTCGATCGGGTGTAAATCTTAATCTTTGATTTTTCGGGTCGAATCCCCCCTCTTTCTTTCTTATTTTCTCACTTTCAATTTCACTCTCACTCTCACTCTTTCTTTCTCTCTTTTATTTCTCTCATCTCTTTTTCATCTTTCTCTTATCTCTCTTATTTCTCCTTTATCTTTTTCTTATCTCTCTCTCTCTCATCTCTTTTTCTTCTCTTTTTCTCTCTCTCTTTCTCCTCTTTTCTGTCTCTCGTCTTTCTATTCTCTTCTCCCTTTTCTCTCTTAGGAGGATTCGGGCAAAGAACCATATAGGACTCTTTACTTGGAATCGTTTCTCTCCTCCTTCTTCGTACGTTCGATTCCGTCCTGTCGTCGTTCTGTGGCATGCGGTTAGCGTTGCGTACTTTGCGGTCGCACTCGCTCTGTAGCCTCTGACAACCCTCCCCGCAGACTTCCGACAATCCGCTTTGCAGGTGGATTTTTGCGATGCCACCGCGACGTCTCTTTGATTGCCTCCAAAAAGAGCGCCATGTTTTTTCCTACCTGGTTGCCCTCCACTTTCTTATTCTGGAGCGCTAGCTTTCGCCCCCCCCGTGGCCTTAATTTTTTTTAGTTAATCGAAACAATAAATAGTATATTAATTATGGATTATTCTTTTTTTAATTAACAAATATAACAAGGAGGCAAAGAATTATATTGAAATTCTCCATTATAATATATCGGCAAATTATAATGAATATTATGAATATAATTGATATTGCATTAATAATGTATAATTATAATGATAATTATATGTCAAATTAATGACGTTATATTTTTTGCTAAATTTAATGCTGAAGAATATCGTCTAATTTAAAAAATATGCTTATATTATTTTTAATATATATTAAGATAAATTATAATTAAATTATTGTTATTTTTTAAGAATATATTATTTGTATATAAAGAATTCTAAATCAAGATAATATATATTTAATTAATGAATTTAATTAAATCATATAAATTGAAATTTAGATAAATTCAAATTTATATAGAATCTATATTTATTAAATTCATTATGAACATCGATCACAATTTTATTTAAATATTCCCCACCAAATTCATAATTAAAACATCTAATATTTAGAATTCTCCATTTAGAATACATTTTTTTCATTAAAATATAGAATTTAACTTTTCAAATTTATATCAATATATAATCCTTTTATTTATCCTTCAAAGAAATATATCAATATTATATTCGATAAATTCGAATAAAAATATAATCGATATATTTATATTTTTCACGAAAGCTAGCATCAACTAGCTGGAGTTGTCCTTGCTTTAGCAAGTGAATGAGGGGCTGGAATCCTCGAGATCGTCGCATTACGTGAAAATTTCATATGTAGAGGCCCCCCATCCCCCGCGGGTTCAATTCCCCCCTGCGCCGCCTTTGGGACACCTCTTGGACACCTCTTATGGCATCCATTTTGGTTCAACTCCTCCGTGGAAATTTTGGGATACGATGCAACAGATTCAACAGATTCACAAGCTAAGGTTGGTCATTGCTGTTCGTGTGTCTCACATATTCATAATGTTTTTTATCTCATGAGCGAGCCCTTGTGAACCATCCCTCCAATAGTCCCGTGCCTATGAAGAAAAAAGGTTGCCTTATTCCGCTTGATCTCCCACCAATCCTTTGCTATTGGACAACGCTGTATATTTCGCTTCCACTGACACGGATGCATCCCTGCTAGCTTTCGTCATTTAC